TTAACAAGGCACCAGGTTACATCTAAAATACTAGAGTGATCTGAGTCATGAGTTGAGCTATGTTCCTTTGGTGAAACTAGACAGTGGCTACAGTTTGGTAGTGGAACGTACTGGATGCAGAATTGGAGAGCTTGGATTACAAATCAGTCTTGGCCACTCAGTATGTCAGCATGACTCTCTCTGTGACGTGAGAGGGTTGTTTTAGGTATCAGAGAGCCCTGTCAACTCAATCCTATGGTCTTCCTGCTGTCTATTTTGAGTTTAGGGCTCTTTTCTATTTTATTTTATTTTATTTTTCAGTTAACAAGTATTTATTTTCTCTTTCTCCCTGATATGAAAAAAGGAAGGAAAAAAAAAACCTTTGACACAAATTTGCATAGTCAAGCAAAACAAATGCCTACTCAGTCCATGTCCACAAGTATTGTGTCTCATTCTGCATCTTGAATCCATCACCTCTGTCAGGAAGTGGGCAGCATAATTCATCATCAGTCCTCTGGAATTATGCTCAGTTATGAAGTCTTTCAAAGTTGCTTGCCTATGCGGTGTGGTTGTATATAAATCATTCATTTGTCTGGTTCTGAAGCTCACTTCATTCTGCATTAGTTCCTATGGTCTTCCCCATCTTTTTTGTCATCTCTTATATAGTACAGCTGTTGCTATCTATTTTTTTCTATAATTTATCTGTTCCATTATCTCCCTGTCTCATCCCCAAATGTTTTACGTTTAAGATGTTAAACTGAACGTTGAAAAGATGTAGAACCTGCCCTCCAGAAATTAATTTCCAAGGATTCTGATATGTAAAAGTAGCCTGATGACATTTGTTTTTCTCCATGGATATTTACCAACCTTCCCTGGGTCAGCATGAATGGTAAAGAACAGCAATTACTACTACTGATCCTACTACCACCAACTGGTATTTATATAGAAAGCATTTTAGAGTTTTGCAGAGGGCTTTACAATATATCTCATGTTATTCTCACCCACAACCATGGGAGGTAGGTGCTGCTATTAACCCCATTTTACAGATGAGGAAACTGAGGGAAATAGAGTCTAACCTTCCCTGGGTCATATAGTTAGTAAGTGTAGGAAGCTGAATTTGAACTCAGTTCTTCCTGAATCCAGGTCTAACACTCTATCCACTCAGCTATACTACTGAGTTGCCTCTGTATTGACATGCAAGAAATTCCTAAAGGTAGCTTTTATACTTGTAATTATTAAATAAAAGGAAGAATTTCTTTGTATATTCAAAATTTTTATCTTACTTGTCCTTTCTCTTTGCCCTGTCCCTCAAAAAATACAAGGCACATTTACTGGAAAATGTAAATCAACAAGATTTTTTTTTAATACTTGGTGAAACTTCAGCAATTTTTCTGAAACTAGTTTTATATACTATTAGTATTCTTATTTTTTAAAAAGCAGCATTTATACCTTCCCTACCCTCCCATAACTGCTGGGTATTAACTAAAAGCCTAAATGCAAGATACCTAACCCCTCTTTTAGTAAGAATATCTACTTTAGAACCCACTAGCTGCCTTAACCTTCCTCCCTACCCCCCTCCCCCACTGCCTCTCTTTAGAGGCAACACACACACTGCTTCTCTTTGGACTCTAGCATCCCACGAAAGGCGTATATGGAAAGATTTTCCCAAGTCTTCTGACTATTGCCATCACTTCTCTAATGTACCTCCCAGTTTTATTACCGTGTCTCCACCCTTATTTTGTAGGTGTGTATCTCCAGAGAGTAGAGGATGAAGAATACGTAGGAGAAGAAGGTATCATGGCCTTAAAGAATTTCTCTCAGGCCTATTCCCACCCACACCCACACCCACACCCCCACAACTGGAGAAAGGCCCGGATGTCAAAAAAAAAACTGGATCACTGCTATAGAGTATACTGAAATTGTGTAAACATTTAGGAAGTGATTAAATAAACATATCGATCTGGAGGGACAGGGGAGGCAGTGCAGTGGCATGGAAAGAGGACTGGTTATGGAGTCAGAAGACCCAAGATTAATCAACCATTTATTAAGTACTCACCATGTATCCAGCACTGTGCAAGAAGGACCTTTTGAGTCTTTATTTCTGCCCTTATTTCCCTTTAAGTCCAATTTTAGTTCATTTGATGAGTGGTGTTAATGTGAGTCATGGTAATCTATTCCACTGATAAAAGGCTTCATTTGTCACCTTAACTTTTGCTCTTAACCCTTCCTCTAAAATGTGTGTTTTTGTTTATTTGTTTTTTAAATAAATTTATTTATTTATTTTTAGTTTTCTACATTCACTTCCATAAGATTTTGAGTTCCAAATTTTCTCCACTCTCCCCACCCCAAGATGGCGAGTAAATTGATAATGGCTCAACATATATGTTCATATTAAACCTATTTTCACATTAGTCATGCTGTAAAGAAGAATTAGAACCAATGGGAGAAACCATGAGAAAGAAGAAACAAAAAAGAGAGAGAGGTGCTTTTTGTTTTAAAAAACCATCTTCTTCATTACTGTGTGACCCTGAGCAAGTCATTTAACCTCAGTTTAAAAGAAAAACCCCAATCTTCATAAATTCTCCACCACTACTAGAAAAAACCTCACGGTATGTCCCATAGGTCAGTAGGTACATCCTTGAACATGTTTTCATTTTAACCCCTCTTTTAAGTAAAATTGAGAATCTTGTAGATCTTGTTGGGAAGATTCTGTGTTCTTATATTCACAGATGGGTCCTCAGTGGTAGGGCCTGAGCTATCTTTTTGTGACATCAGCAAAACTGGATTGCAGCATGTCTCCCCTAGTTTCCCTTAGACACAATTACCAATTGAGTAGAGACTGCCCCAGGGAAATTGGTCTCAGTGGAAAAATTCTGCTTCTTATTTACGTGAAAGACCAGAATCCTTTTTTTTTTGGTGGGGGGGATAACATTGTTGGAAATGGATGTGCTGTCTGCTACAATGAAGCAGTTAATTGCAGAAACTTTGCTTGAGATGTGTTTTAATATGCCATCAGCATTTAAATGGTCCCAAGGAGACTTTCAGTCTTATCATTAAATAGGAAAGCAATCCTATATCTACCTGTTTCTTTCCCCACCCTCTTTTCTAGTCTTCTTTCTCTCTCTCCCAAGTTATAATTTTTAACAAAGCTTAAATTAAGAAGGAATCTCCAGGGACAACACACACACACACTTCTCTCCCCTAGTGATAAAGTGACAAACTTGATTTAAAATGAAAATTGATGATCTGGTTTTAAAGAAAACAAATTATCAGAAAAACTTACTTTCATTTTGTTGTTGTTTTTTTTTAAATCATTGTTAAACCCAATAATCTCAATAAAATAATTAAACCAAACAACCACAAACTCCAAACTATTTACAGCTCTTCCTAAAATTATATACCTATTGATAAAATTCTAATTCTCTATTCCCTTCTATTGTTTCTTATTTTCTGTCTGTGTACTTACTAGATTTTGTTGCTGTTTAAAAAATTATAGTCCGTATTAGAGTTCAGATGCTGCTTTCTTTGTTCCAGATCACTTCCCATAAGACTTTTCACATTTTTTTCAAATTTTTTTATGTGATGTTATTCTACTTTATTGAACATACCAGAATTTAAGCATTCTCCAATTTTTGGATGTACTTGCTGTTTCTAATTATAACAAAGGCATTGTGTATCTTGGTAGTGGTGGGTCATTGTTTTTTCTTTTCATGACCTCTCCTTCATAGGTTAACAGATTTGTTAGTGGCCAGCCTGCTGCTAAAAAGCCTTCCCAGACTTGGCTGGGGTGGGTCTTATGCAGCAGGATTAGTATGTCACTGGCCATGTTGAAGACTATTTAGCATGGTAAAAACCCTGTCAGAGCTTGTAATCTATTGGCATAGCCTTTGAGAACCTAGAGCTATCTTCTTGCCATGACAAGGCATTCATGAAGGATATCAAAATACCACAGGATATAGTTCTACTAGTGGGATGACTGCGCCAGACTGTATGATTGGTTTTGTAATTCATTAGACATTGCCAAATTAAGAGTGCAGCAGTGTATCTGTTTGATTCTCTGCCATCAATTATCCTTTATCCATTTTTAACCATTACTTCGAAGTATCAGAAAGCAACTCAGCATTGTTTTAATTTTAATTTCTCTGATCATTAGATACTTTTAAGCTATTAAAAAACTAGTCTTAATTTGTATTTCTTCGTGGAGAATTCTTCATATCCTTTGCCCATTTATCCTTGGAAGAATAGATATAGACTTGCCTTTAGATTTGAGACTCAAAGAGAACTATTACTGCTTTGGAGGGAAGAAAGCAGTATGAACTAGTAAGTGGACCCAGGACTTGAAGTGGGGGATGGGGAGTAGACTGGTTCCTCAGAAACCTTAACTAAAAACCTCCCTAAGCCATCTGCTACCTTAAGCCTGAGGGAAAAGAGGAGGGGGAGGAGGAAAGGGATGAAGAGGAAGACAAAACAGAGGAAACATGAAATCGGGAAGAACAGAATTAGTCAACAGAAGATTATTATGGATTTAACCACAGAATATGGAGTGAGATATTTGAAACTCCAGCCCAACTCTGCTACTGCCTTTCATTACTGAATTAAGATTAATCAGGAGGTCACATCCTTATCTGCTTTTCAGGAAGAAAAAACCAAAACCCCTAGAATAGCAAACTGTACTTAGAGACCATAGTGAAGGTTATAAAGACACTTTGCCAGAATCTCTGATTCAGTATTTGTGTCAAAGGAAGAGAATTCCTTTCAGCTTTGAACTTCCAAATTCTTTGCTTCTGCCTTCATAGTTCAAATGAGAAAGAGGTACTGTTCCCAATAATCTAGATGCTGGAATACAAATCTGTCTTTGTAGATTTGCTAACACCTGCATCTCATAATTAAAATGTCAGTGATGTAAGTGATTGTCCCATGGCCTATCAACCAACAATTGTTTCCTAGAAATAGAAGATGAATCTTTTTTTTTCCCTTGTCATACAAAAACATTTTTTTTTCTTCCCTCTCCCCTCCACCAGGGTCGCCCATCGGGAGATGCCTTTATCCAGATGAAATCTGCAGACAGAGCATTTATGGCTGCACAAAAGTGTCATAAAAAGACTATGAAGGACAGATATGTTGAAGTCTTTCAGTGTTCAGCTGAGGAGATGAACTTTGTGTTAATGGGGGGCACTTTAAATCGAAATGGCTTATCCCCACCGCCATGTAAGTTACCATGTAAGTTTTTCTTGGGTCTTGGCGCTATCCTCCGCTATGTGCTGGTAGGTGCTTGAGCTGCTTTCATAACTGTGTTCCTGGCTCTTGCTGAGGCAGATAAAATGGTCACATGAAGCTTTCCCATCTGAAATCAATAGTATCTGGTGACTTAATTTAAGACCTTGGTTGTGGATGTCCATAATAAAAAAAAATGTGAAAAACAAACAAAACCAACCTTCTTTCAGATCATCCTCTTGCCTTTCCGGTGATAAGCAACTTGATTTCTAAAGCTTAACATGCCCAAGTAAGTAAGCACTGACTCTGGGAAGCAACCTGGCTACGGAGATGCTTTAAAACGCATATAACATAATTTAAAGGTGAAATTGAAGTTTTTTCATGGACAGCTTTATTGGGTGAGTGATAATAGGTTTGTTCTTTTTCTCCCCTACTTTCTGGATAAGGAAAGATAAAACTTTAATATTGACTTGTTGAGACATATTTACTCTGTTACTTTACAGAGTGTCTTGAGTAACAAGTTAACACAAAGGCAAAATGCGTAATTAAACTAGCCAAAGTTTTCATTGGGTCACAGGATCAGTGCTTAATTTCAGGCCATGCTCTTGCTCATTGGAACCTGGGTAGCAGTCAGCTGGTGTCCTATCTGTTATATAAATATGCTTTTTAGTCCATACTAAGTTCTGGATAGTGATTAGGAAACATATTTTAAAGGTTTAAAGTTTAATGCTTTGGGGAGGGGGGGGTAGCATGCAGGTGAAACTTTTAATGAAATCATGCTTATTGAGAAAAATATTTGTTTTTATGATATTTGTTTATATGAAGTGGTTATCTAGTACAGGATTTTTAGTCTTGGGCTCAAAAATGTCTCAACTCAAATGAATTTCAAAGATAATTGAGAAATGATGATTGGATTTAGAAATTTGATTTGTTTTCTATTTGGAAGAGCTAGAAGACTTAGACCAAGCTCCAGTAAAAACAACAACAACAACAACAAAAACCATCCCTACCACTGCTCCATTTAATCAGAGGACTTATTGACTGAATATTGATAACATTTGTGCTAATAATACTTTTACCTCTGGAGATAATTCTTCCTGTATGTATGATTTACAGTAGGATAATGTAAAGGAGATTTTATGGTAACTACCTAGATGAGATGTGTGTACTACTTTTTACCAATTATCAACAGTGTTTTCAGTTTAGGACCATAGGATTTAGAAGTAGAAAGAGATTATTAATCTTTTTTAGATTACAGATTAACAAACTGAAGCCTAAATTGGTTCTGAGGGGCAGCTGGGTAGCGCAGTGGATGGAGCATCAGCCCTGGAGTCAGGAAGACCCGAGTTCAAATCTGGCCTCAGACATATTACACTTACTAGCTGTGTGACCCTAGGCAAGTCGCTTAACCCCAACTGCTTCACCAAAAAAAAAAAAGGTTCTGAAATGAACCTGAGAGACCACTCAGGAGAAAATCAATTTTATAAAATGAAAATTTCAAAAGAATCCAGGTGATTGAGGGGAAATCATATAATGGTATAATCTGGCCAAATATTTCTATGCCATAATTTATGAATGTCTCTAAGGAGATCATCTCCCTCTGTAATGAAAGTGGTGATATCTTCCCACAGAATCTAAATTATTTCTCTTACAATGTGTTCATTCCCTTCTTTCTGTCCTTTTTAGAAAACAGCTAGTCATACCTTAGCATTTCAGAGACATGAATCAGTGTTCTCTTCAGAGGTCCAATAGGACCAAATCCATTTTTATCCTTCTGAGCAGGGAGTATTTTGGGAAGCAGGTTGCAAAATGGCCAATGCCATGATCCTGATGTCAAGAAGATCTGAGCTCAGATATGAACTCAGACTCTCACAAGATATGCAACCCGGGACAAGAAACCTTCGTCTCAGTTTCTTCATTTGTAAAATTGGGTTACTAATGGCACCTACCTCCTAGGATTGTTGTGAGGATCAAATGAGATAATAATTGCAAAGAACTTAACACAGTGCCTGGCACATATTAAGTGCTATATAAGTGTTAGGTAGTATTATTAATTCCCAATCTTTGTTTTGGGAGAGGGATGAAAATGAATTTAAGAACAATATAGTCTGAGATTGTTATGTGTCTAAGGGAAGAATTAACTCACATTGTGCTGGATTCCCACTGATAAAGCTTAGTATCATGTTTGTTTCTTTTTCTCAAATAAAATATACTTCAAGGTTAAATTCTTTTGGCCTCATGTCATACAATTAAAACAATCACACAATTTGGGGTGCATTTGATACATGCGTTTTGAAAAGTGCTGCTAAACTTCAAGAAAGAATATGATATTGATGTAAAACTGTCGTTGAGGATTTTAATGTTGAAGATGTGAGGGAAGTACTCATGCATCGACCTTGAAGTCTAACTAGCTTATATTAATGGTATATTGCAGGGGCAATATATTGAGGAACAGTTATGCAAAATCCTTTTTTTTTTTTCCTAAGAAAATTCATGATTAAGTATCCTACTTAAAAAATAATTATACACAAAGGTACAAGAGGCTTTCCAGGAATACAGTAGGATAGTTCCCCAAATTCTTTAGGGAACTTACTCAAATCTCAGAGGTACCGCCTATACTCATCAAAAATTTGGGTTAAAAACAAAATTCTTTGCCTTGCATTGTTTGAATACAGAGCAAATATGATCAGTTACTTCAGTTTGCCATTTAATCATTTAGCTCATCTCATCAGTATGAGGCAAATGCACTGTAACAAACAGGAATGGTGAAACTGGCTCAAATCTCTGGTCTAGCCTTGACTTACTCTATGATTTTGGATTGATCAACCTTTTGGTGCCTCAGTTTCCTTGCCTATTCAGTACATTGTTCTGAGTATTTAGTTAGATTCTTTTCAAGGGCAAATGGCTTCACTTGTGGCTGTATAATTTAGCCTCTCAAAGAAGCAGAGATCTATAAAAATTGTGAATTGTAGGGGGCTGATATGAGGGAGAAATTATTACCTTAGAAATTCTAAATAAATGTTGATGTGCCTCAAGCATGACATGGTATATTTCTGACCTGTGAAATATTCACTGTTAGGTAAGAGAAAGAAGGTTAAAGGCAAGATGCCTATTCATTTGGAGATAGTCTTAGGATCATGGCGATATGGCTAAATGAGATCTGGAGTTACGATTCAGAACTTCTTTTCCACAATCATACACCTATCTCAACCAGGTTCAAAAATGAGAACTGCTGAGTAAGAAGTAAGTTGAGCTATTTGAATTGATCCTTTTAGGGAAGAAGTCTTGGCCAAAGGCCGATAAAAATTCAGATATCCCTGGCCAGCCCTCATCTAAAACACCCCAAGAAGAGTGATAGTATGGTGCAATGGAAAGAATATGGAATCTGGATTTGAAGTCTGGCTCTGCTACATGCTACCTGAATGACGACTGGGAAGTCATTTAGTGAAGTCATTTAGTGTCTTTGGACCTCAAGCTTCCTTGTCTGTAAAATGAGATTGGACTTGGTGACTTCTGGCGTCACTTCAACTCTAAATCTACGTTCCTATAATCCTGAGACAGACAGTGTCAGTTATAGAGACACTCGGCCTTAGGTTTAGCATTCAGATCTTTTGAATTAAATTCTGAACCTACCTGAGACAGGTTACCTATAGCCTGGATTAGACATCTCCAATCTGACTGGTGACATCCAGCCCTTGGAAATATTCTTCCTGGGGTGGGCATTGATCTAGGGTAGGTTGGACCCCTGTAGGTGTCTCTTTACTCTCAGTGTGTTCTGACCCAGATTTCCTGGGGGATACAAGCAGGAATACTAAATGAACTGGATGCACAGTTTAGTGTAAGTTCTTATTATAACTACCAGGGAGAAGGGTAGCAGTAGAGAGAGTGTCAAAGGAAAAGAGAAGCAAGATGTCTTGGACTGTCCTCAAACAAGATAACTAGCCCTTTGAACAATTAGGAGTTTGCTGTGCTATGCTTTATGTAGTATTTGTGCAAGTATGTGAGTTCTCCATCCCAGAGCTGATACATAGTTGAGATCACTCCGACTGGGAAAATATTTCCTATCATGCTATTAGAGAAGGGGACATTAGACTGGTACCAAGGCGTAACATTTCTCAAATTTCATAGGAGAAGCTACGTACATTGGGATGTATGTAGTTTTCACATTAATGCTGAGGGTTCCTTGTAACCAAAAAAATAGGGGTGGGAAGGCTGGAAAGACCTGTCAGGGAAGATTCCCAACTGTGGAGTTTGTATCTAAAAATGATAACTCTATGACCCTTTCACTGGTAAAGATGCTGTGTGTTCTGTAACTCTCCCCTTTTTCCCATTTAGGTTTGTCTCCTCCCTCCTACACGTTTCCAGCCCCTGCCGCAGTGATCCCAACGGAAGCTGCCCTTTATCAGCCTTCTGTCCTGTTGAGTCCCCGGACACTGCAGCCCTCCACAGCCTACTACCCAGCTGGCACACAGCTTTTCATGAACTACACAGCATACTATCCCAGGTAAGGCACAGAGGAAAGTGGAACCAAGAGGCAGGAACAAAGAGCTCCTTGTATGGCCGGGATACAGAACTCACAAAAGAATATTGTCTGTGGTCACACTCAAGGTTAGCCCTGTAGGGAATGGCTCTTTGTTGCTGAACCTGTGACCAAAAGAGAGCTCCTTTAGAAAGAACCCTCTCTTGTATGGCTGGCTGTCTTTGGTCCTTTCTGGGCTGTGTGTGGATGATTTAGTAGACAAGTTCTCACTGCAAGGGAGAGAGAGAGAGAGAAGAACAGAAAAGGGCATGGAGTGAGGAAAGAACAGTAGATATCAACGTAAACCCTGAATTATGTTTAATATAAATTAAATATTTATAAATTAAATATATTATTAATAATATCTAACATTTATAAAGTATATTAAGATTATTTCATTTGATTCTCACAGGAGACTTAGATGCTATTATTATCGTCATTTTACAGTTGAGGCCGTTGAGGCTGAAAGAGCTTAAGTGTCTAGGGTTATGTAGCTATTAAGTAAGTCAAGCTAGGTCTTTCTGGCTCCAAGCCCAGCACACTCTCCACTGTCCCACCTAGCTGATTTATACTAAATGTAATTCAGGAAATCCATTTCTAAGTGGTTTTCAGATAGCCAGCAAAGTTGATGACTTAACAAAATACAGGTAAGGACGCATTTGAGGGTGTGTCATCTGGTAGAGGATGATGGCATATGCCTATAATCCCAGCTACTGTAGAGGCTGAGGCTGGTGGATTTCTTGAGCTTGAGAGTCCTGAGCTCTGCAGTAGGCTAAGCCAGTTGGGTGTCTACATTGTCCGATTTTAATATGGAGGGTCTTCAGGAGTACGGAACCACCAGGCTAGCTGTGGAGGAGGAAGTTGAACCAAGTTGGGAAAATGAGCAGACTAAAGCTTCCGTGACAATTAGTAGTGGGATTCAATCCTTGAGTAGCCATTCAGCTTCTGGACTGGGTGAGAAAGAGAGAGAGAGAGAAAGAGACCTATTCTCCTAAGAAAAAGGAGCTGGGCCATCTCTAGTCTTCCTGATCGATATCTGACCACTGGACCCAGATGGCTCCAGAGGAAAGAGTGAGGCTGGTGACTTTGCACAGCCCTCCCTCATTTAAATCCAGTTCACTTGCAAGTCATGGCATCTTCTTCCTGATGTCATGGTCCTCTTTGAGAATGAAGGACAAACCACAATCCTAAGAAGGAAAAAAAAAGTATGTAATTTGTATATGATATATAAAGTATATAATAGTATAGCAACACACAGCAATAGCACAAACTTTACAGCATTTATAATTTTCCCTAGAATTGAATTTTAAAACATTGATCCTGGGGCAGCTAGGTGGCGCAGTGGGTAGAGCACCGGCCCTGAAGTCAGGAGTACCAGAGTTCAAATCCGGCCTCAGACCAAACATTTGACACTTATTAGCTGTGTGACCCTGGGCAACTCACTTAACCCCAATTGCCTAAAAAACAAAACAAAACAAAACATTGATCCTTAAATCAAATCTTTTGCTTAGATTGGCTGGATTTCCTTTTGTGTTTTATCTACCTAATGATTAGCCTTTTGAATTAAGGCCTGACAGCACTTTAACTATTGTGGGATTGGACATTGCGTTTATTGGAACCTGCCTTTACAGTATTGTTTTTACTAATATAAATTGTTCTCCTGGTTCTTCTCATTTCATTCTTCATCAGTTTCTAAGAATCCAACAGATTGTTCATTTTTTATAATATTGATGGTGTGTGTGTGTGTGTATACAACTTTGAAAGCTATAAAAATAAATATGCCGACTATTCTATGATTCCAAAGGACTAATGATAAAGCATCCCATTCATTACAGAGATAGGAGATATTTAGGGTGCAGAATGAGATGTGTGTGCATGTGTATGTGTATGTATGTATGTACGTGTGTACATTGAGGGAGTTTGTTTTGCTTGACTCTGCTTATTTGTTATAATGGGGGAGAGGAGTGGGAGTAAGAGAATATAGGTTTTTGTTAATTTTTTTTTTAAATAGAGGGGCTGATCCCAATGTGAAATGTTGCATGAATTTTTAGATGAAGTTCCCATATTAGTTTTATTTAATTGTTTAAAAAAGAAACAAAAAAGAAACGTTGGAAGGGGAGGATGGGAGGAGAAGGTGAAATGTTGAAGGCAAATCCTCGAACAATGAGAAGAGCTATCCTTTCATTAAAGGAAGTTGAAGCCCCGAAGTGACTCTCTCTTGGGGATTATTTAAAGTATGTTCTCCATATACATTGCTGTAAAATGGAAAGAATTTTGTATTTGTATCCCCAGTATCTGACACAGTGCCTGGTACATAATAGGTACTTAATAAGTGTTGGTTGATTGACTTAAAAAAAAACTTGGAACCTGTAGATAAGTGTTTCCATAGCAGAAAAATATAACAAATGATACATTTAATAAATGCTTAAAATTAGGATTGTGATGTCCTGCATTCTTGCAACCTATACTACCTATTGACTTATAGGAGCCAATATGAGAGTAGAAAGAACACCATGGAAGGAATTAGGAGCTCCTAGTTCTTTTCTGGGGGGCAGGTAGATAGCCAAGTGGATAGAATGCCAGGCCTGGAGTCAGGAAGACTCATCTTCTTGAGTTCAAATCTGGCCTCAGATACTTACTAGCTGTGTGACCCTGGGCAAGTCATCTAATCCTGTTTACCTCAGTTTCCTCCTCTGTACAATGAACTGGAGAAGGAAATGGCAAACTACTCCACTTTGTTTGAGAGACTACTCCAGTCTCTTTGGTTCTTTCTGGGCTGTGTGTGGACAATTTAGTAGACATGCTCTTACTGCACATTTGAGGGAATTATAACTTGGGGGAGAGAGAGAACAGAAAAGGGGGTGGAGTGGCAAAAGAAACAGGTAGATATTCAGTGTAAATAACTGAAAAACAACAGCAAGTTCTGTTCTCAGATCTGCCACTAACCATCCTCTCAACAACCCCAGGAGGCAGGTGTTTGTTGTTACTCCCATTTTATAGATGAGGAAACTGAGGCAAAGTTTAAATTAATTGCTGAGGATCACTCTGCTGGTAAGTATCTGAGGCTGGATTTGATCTCTGGTTATCCCAACCCCTGGTCCAGTGCTCTGTTCTCTTCACCACTTATCTGCCTACCTTGTTTAAAAAAAAAAAAAAGCCTTAGGCTCTTAGATGTGGATCTGGAAGGGACTTTAGGGTCTCCTAATCCAATACCCTCATTTTCCAAAGGAAGAAACCAAGGTACCCAAAAGTTGAGGGACTCATCTAAGGTTTTACAGGTAGAGCTGGGATTTGAATCCAAGTGTCTTCTGATGCCATCTCCATTGTTTTCCCCCATGCTATGCTGTACTTTGTGCCTTATATTCTAAATTGGCATCATTGCTCATGAAAAAAAAAGAAAAATCTGGAGGATTATTTCTTTTTCAAGCTTTTTGTTACAATGTTTTAGGAAATAATTGTCCAAGAGTAAGAGAGCACCACTCCCCAAAATCACATGAGGCTCTTTATACAGGTGATCTAGAGGCCTGCCTTTGAGTCCTTAGGGAGGAAATGCCAGGGGAGTACATCACATTGGCTTCCTGCCCAAGGCTATTACACCGATCGCATAAGAGATCAATTCTCAGTAATGCTGCTGGTATCCAGAAGGAGCTTCACTTTTGCCTCTGAACTTTTAAAACTTGTACCCAGAATGTGGTACAGAGCATAACCACTTGCTCCTCCTACTAAGGGAGCTTCAGACAGAGAAAAAAGCATTGCAGTCCTAGCTCACTTCAAGCAGTACAAAGCCCTTTTCTCACAACAACCCCAAGCATTAGCCTCATTTTGCAGATGAAAAAACTGAGGCTCTTAGACATTAACTCATCCAAGGGTCACACAGCTCAGTACTATTTCTGCTGTCCCTGTACTCTTGACTGACTACCTGAAGCACCCGACCCACATTCCTCATCATTTACCTTCATGGGGTTTAAGAACACTGTTGTCCCCATTCCTTTGCTTTCCCATTTTGTGTCCTCATCTTTGGGACATGAAGTAGAGCAGAAAAAATGTTATAAATGTACTCTGGCACTGACAGTCCTTGAATTAAGAAAACAATGTAGGTTGTAAGAGGAAGTGTGGCTCTTGCCTAATGATGAAAGGGAGAGGCTTACTATTTTCTGACGTTTAGTGAAGGCAAAGCAGCTTAAGCGTGCCTTAGATTAGAGGGTGTTTAAGAAAAACCTTCAGGTGGGATGGCCAGCACTGTCTAGGAGGGAGATATTATTTTCATCCATTTTCTGGAAACGCTACCATTGATAATGATAGAGATAGTCTTTCATTTTCCTCTTCCTTCCCTATCTACTACAAGTTAAGAATAAGCAAAGATGAAATCATGGTTATTTATTGATCTCCAATTAGATGGAAGGCATTATGCCAGGCTGTCTTGTAGGTGTAATAATAATGCCTGACCTTTATATAGCACCTAAAGGTTAAATGTTTAAAAGTTTATGTAAATTATCTAATTTGAGCCTCACAATAACCCTGTGGAGTAAGCACTTGAAATACCAATGTCCCCATTTTACAGATGAAGAAACTGAGGCTGACAGATGTTTATGAACTGTGTCAGAAACTGGATTCAATCCTAGCCATGTGTCATAGGTGGGACTTGAATATAGGTCTTCTGGGTTTTGAGGCCAACACCCTATCTTTTTATGTTAGTGTAGTGGACAGGTGGTCAAATACACAGTCCACCATGAGGCCTGGAATAACAGTGTAACACAAACCAGATTAAAATGTAATTGGGAATACTTAACAAAATAAAGATATGATAGAATATGGATAATGCTAACATGTAGTTTTCTAAGTCAGTATGTACCCACTGGGATGTATGGTTTAGTGATCCCTTTTCTATTTGACTTTGACATCACTGCTAGGCTTGAAGATTCAAATTCTTCTGTTTCCTCATCTGTAAAATGAGGGAGTTGGATTCCATGACCTCTCAAGTCCCT